TTCTAAGACGTGTTTCTGACACAGCCCATTCTAAGATTTTCACAAAAATCAAGCTCCGCATCGCCTTAAAACAGGAAGCCATTCCTCCGCATCGAGAATCATTGGAGTAACGAGACATGCATTTTTTAAAATCAGCCCTGGAAAAGGCAGATTAAAGCGGCCGAAATCCGGAAAAAAATCAGGTTTAACAGGTTGGTTAGCTCAATCTCATCAGCTCAACACCGACATCCACCCGATTTTAGAAAGTGACACTGCTGGCTGTCGCACCGAGAAATGACGCAACACATCATCCCCATTCCTCAGTATAGGAAATGGACATCCACGGACCACTGCACGCTTGTGGGCTGGTTGAACATGTCGACGAGTTTGTTGTGACGTTTTGCAGAACCATAAAAAGCCTACTCGCCATCAAAACACCGCTAAGGAACAGACGCAGATTTTGAGGAAGCAAAAATATCTATCGTGCTTGATAAAGCTGCGGCTGTCAACAATTTTGCCGACGTTTATTCATGTATTCTGCAGGATGCCACCAAAAGGTGTTACTAGGATAAACTCCGGTGCACGGTTCCCTTATCCACAGCCCACTGGCTTGGCGAGGATAAAACGACGCAGCACCAAAGCTGTTCGATACTTTCTGATTGTGTCAAACACAATGCGATGATTGTGCACGTGTTTACCAACACAGTTAGTCAGAGACATTAGGGTGATTCACCCTTGTGTGAAAAAATAGCAGAGCTCCCTGATGGATGCGCGGACAAATGTACCAATAATAACTCAGCCAACACGCATCCGGGCGATCGATCGATGGTGACGCGCTGGAATGGGGTCAATTTGACCCCGCTGAGGTTTCAAAAACTAAGAGGGATGGAGACCCCAAACGCACAGAGTAGGTAGGGTCTTTGTGAAATCGTTTGTCTCAACTTTGATTTTCTTCGGCCCCGAACTTCGCGTCAAATAAGGTTAAAGGAAGTCAACCTCAAGATCGGTGTCCGAAGAGCTCTCAGAGCAACTCGCACAGCCATTTTTAACCTCGGTACCGTTTATAAACAAAATGCCACTGGTGTCCATATCCGGCCAGTTACCTTATTTTATCCTTTAGCAGGTAAAACAACACTGACATTATTTTGATATTCGACTGCAGAATCGGCGCCGAGTACTATCTCACGCGGTATACTGAAATCAAACCATTTGTCGAGGTCATTTTAGGTCAGTGGCCTCACTTGACCTTCATGATGTGAAAACAGTTATCTTTTGACGTCCTTGAGATCCAGAAAGTTAAATTAAGCGTCCAAAACTACCTCACGAAACAAAGCATGTAGTGATAAAGCGGTTCGGTTTTGAAATTGATTTAACTACATACCTGATCCAAGTCAATAACATTAATCGTAATCCTAATCGCAGCTGTGTAATGTTTACCAAGCCATCTCAAGGTTGTGCGACATCGTCCAACACTCCGTTCTCGCATCATATTGAATATTTCCGCAGGGATTGCATCCACTGACAGCAATAGTCTGATTCAGCTCCTATAGGTCAGCGACCTGTACTATATAATTTGCATATGACAAGATCAGCTATCCATCATTTATAGCTATACGACATTTGGTGAGGCGTTATCGCGCCGCGTTCCAAAATTATTGTGGAAAAACCTCCGAGGATTGTCCCCTTCATCCAAGCAAGTGATAACCTTGCTCACCATTGCACATATTTGGCTCGCTCCCTAAGTGGAGTTTTTTGGCAAACATCATAGCAAACGGCATACGGGAGCATTGAGGAAAGGAGGAGGCAGTAAAGCAAGACTAGGCCCAGAAGGCCTGACCCATACTGTTACAAAACATATTTTACTGCATACTTTATATTACAACATATTTTCCGAATTTTCCACAGAAAAAATGGCCACTAGTATCTGTCTCTTTATATCCGACGAACCACATATCACGGCCATAACCTAGAAATTCGCTCACCATTCGTCACAATCCAGTTTCGAACACTCAAAAAGAACATCTTTTTTCAGTTGAAGCGGGACAACTAACCAATGACCATGCATCAAACGCGCAAGTGACGATAGGTGAGCCGTTCCCGTGATTCGGAAAAACCGCTGGCTCGGTTAAACCACCGGAGAAGTGAAATAAATATCCATTTTTACAAGTGGATACTATCCATTTAATGTACTCTGCATTGATACCCTTTTGCTGTTTATCAATATAGCAGAAGCCGGAGCACTGCAAACAAAGTCTTAGGTACGGTCTGTTTGAATGAAGGGCCCTTCACGCTTGTCAAGGTTAACGCCCTCTACTTTGTGTCATGGGTATTTCTCATTTGAATCGAGGGCCTTATGCTGTTGTCGGGGGCCCCATCTGTTAACTTGCTCGGGCACATTCGATTGTTCGGGAGCTCTCCACATAGTGCCTCGGGTCACAGTGTCTTACTGTTGGAATGGAGGGCCCTACGCACTTGTTGGGGCCCATCTGTTCACCTGCTCGGCCACACTGGATTGCTCTGTTGCCCTGTGCATTGTGTCTTGGTGTCTGAATTTAGGGCCCTAAGCTCCTATCGGGGGTCATCTGATAACCCACTCGGGTACACTCCGTTTTCGGGAGCATACCGCACTGGGTTTTGGGTATTTTTTATCTGAATTGAGGGTCCGAACTCTTGTCGGGGGCCCTTCTGTTTGCATGCTTAGGCAAACTAAATCATTCCGGGCCCTCCATGTTGAGTCTTGGGTGTTTCTCATTTAAATGGTTCTCATCGGAGCTCTATCTATTAAGCTGCTCCGGTCGGTGGCAATTAGAGGGGGAAGGGACGGGTGAAGGGTGAAGGCACGGGGACATGCCCCTTTATGCACCCGAGGACCCATAGGCTCGGAAGGGGCACACAACCGGCAAGCGGACGCAGTTTTAATATGTTAGGTGCCTTAACACAAAACATAAGAAAATTGAAAGTCTTTGGGCCTACAGAGGACAAAGAAGAGTTGCAATCGAAATTGAGGAGTTCATGAGCAGACAAAGTTAGTTCTTCACCGAGGGAGGTGTTGCTTGGGGAAATTTTAGGGACCATTACGCTGTCCAGAGGCCGTACGCAGTTGTCCTGTCCCTATATGTCCACCTCCGGGACAATCTGATCGCTAAGGAACTTTCCATTCTGCCCTTGATAACTTTGCATTTTCTCGTAGTGTCCTACAGTGTTGTTGGGACACTATCTGCCTACAGGCATGGACATTCTTGATCGACCAGGTTTTCTCCAAGGATTCTTCCCATTCGCCCGAAAGGCTCCATACGCTTTCATCGGGGCCCCATATGCCAGGGTGCCCTCGGTCGCCCAGGGACCCTCCACATTGGTGTCAGGTTTTGTCCACTTGCTCGAAGGGCTTTGTGCTGTTACTGGGGCTCATGTAAGGTAACGCACCGAGCCACGCGATGCTCAGGGACCCTCTGCTTTGATCTATGGCTCTGTCCCTTTTATCTCATTTGCGGGGACCTTTCACTACATCGGTGCCCTTTCTGTTAACCTACCCGGGCACTGTTGATCGCACAGGGACATTAATTTAGTGCGCTGGTCTTCGGTAGCTTTCCTTGGCTCATAGCGCCCTGTGCTCTGGCCGGGATTCTTTGTTACCCTGTCGGGACACTACCGATCGGTGAGGGACCCGTCACGTTGGTCTTGGGGTTTTGTCACCTGTTCTGAGAACCCTATACTAGTTGACGGAAGCCCCTTTGTTGGGCTGCCGTGGCACTCATGATCGCTTAGGTTCCGTCTCTATTGGCTTTGGTGCCTTGGCCTTAGAGCAACAGTTGGATGTGCGCCGATGAATTTCGACGCGCCATTGTCGAACGCAATTTTACGTGCCGCCGACGTCGTATGTGTCATTTCCCTCGGCTATTAAATGTGTAACACTTGTTATGCTTGTGCATCACGTTCTCAATAAATTTTGTACGATAGGATATTTTGTGCTCTTTTATAACGAACGGAAAACTCTACATTAGTCATTAGCCATCAACTGATCACATCGACCAGCCGGCTCGCACCAAAAAAACCCTGTTCACGATTTGTAAAGAAATCTGCGCAGTGCACAATCAATTAAAGGCCATGTCAGGTGGCACACAAATGCATCATTTGGGTGACATTTGGATGCCAAAAATGGTGAAGAGTGAAAATGGTCAGGTTTTGAGGCATGGGAAAGCTAGACACCCGAACTCTTGGATATTGCTTTTGTTTAGAAAGACATCATACGAAAGGTCTTATCAGCAGAACACAGAGTTGAGAGCGGACATTATACAAAGTTAAAACCATGACCCTTTACCTAAATCGCAACCTCACTTTTTCCGAACGTGCCTATGTAAACTTCATTATGTCAACTCGTTATGAAAACGCCTCGGACGTATCTCGTGACCGGTAGATCAGAGACCTCATATTGTGACAGATTCTACTCATCAGATGACCCCACCTGGCACTTTTCAGTAGGATCTGAGACACGACCGTGCTCAATCGCCCTGCTGGTGCTGCGCTGGGTGGAAGGCCACTCAGGATGATCGTCATTTTGTTCTAAAAATCATCCTTGACACGGCCTTCCCTTCTTATGGCATTGCCATAATGCATATCAAAGTGGAATCAAGATGTCGGTCTATCGTCCTGCACACAAGTCTTATTTGGTTCGACGCCATCCAAACAATGAATAAGTTAAAAAAAAAAACGCTCTTAGGCATATGCCATGTTCCCCGCAGTTGCACTGAACAACTTACACGTGTACCCTTCTCTGGATGTGGCATACAATGTTGCCCAAGTTTCTCCCGATGAAACGCAAAATGTCAGCCAATGATCTGACACGCCACTATGTTACTCATGATGACGGCATTGGCCATCCCCAGAGCGCAGCGGTGGCTGTGACAAACTTCACGTCGCGGGAGCTAATGAAGTCGCCACGGCCACAAAGCCCGGCAATGGCGCGTCATAGGCGGACGCCAGCACCAGTCGTGGAGCCCCTCGCAGCGAGCCAAACAGCCGTGTCAACACCGTCCACACGTGTATTTGCCGCCGTACCTTGGAGCTCTGTGCTCTTTCGGCTGAGACAGTGCAGAGCGCGACAGCCCCCCTCCCCCCTCCCTCCCTCTCTGGGCGCCCGTGGCCAGGCCGGCCCGAAGCGCGCGCGGGCACGACGACGCAGTCCAACACACCACCGAGCCCAGCCACTGGGCCGCACACCGGCCTACTTCCACAGCTTCTTGATGGACATGTTCTTCTCCGAGTCCTTCTGCATGATCTTGGCGACGGCCATTTCGAAGTCCTCCTGGTTGACGTGCACGCGCCGCTCACGCAGCGCGTACATGCCGGCCTCCGTGCACACGCCCTGTAACAGGAGAGGGGGCGGCGCTCGTCACATGAACAGCGCCGGCCTCCGTGCACACGCCCTGTAACAGGAGAGGGGGCGGCGCTCGTCACATGAACAGCGCCGACACCGAACAGGGCGTCTGCTACGGAAACCGGTGACAATCGGACAGTCCGCAAACTGCCTGGGGACGTCGTAAAAATAAAATTTACACGGAGTGCTTGCAAATTTTATAGCGGCGTTGCAAAGACCAACAGGGTTTTAAACACCCCTGTGGGTTTTGCAGACAAGAGAAGGCAGTTAACAACCGCTGAAATGAGTCGGCGAAGAAAGTTTGAAAACTACGCATTCGTGAAATCGAATTATGTTAAATTGGCCTGCAAATGCAACGACTGTAACACTTCGCCCCGCGACTGAGTCCATTTATTTATATTCATCCTCAGGCGAGAACTTTCGATTAGCTGCTTCGTAGAGTAAACTTAATTTGCTATTCTTTGTTGAGGAAAATGTCAACTTTCACAGAGTTGCATTCCATCATGCCAGCCAGGCCCTTCAGCTTGTGTGCAGAATACACAGTGCAATCCAACAGAAATGCAGGCCATGCGTCCGGTAAGCTTATTATTCCACGAAACACTGCCACGGCAGCAGCTAGCCCAGTTAGGCTGCCGCCAGCAGTGTGTCCGTGTGAATGGTTTCTTCTGATTACCTTCGGCCTGTCCTTTGGAGGTGTCTTCCAAACTGTTCAGCGGATCATTACACAACGTAGGCCAGCTAAGGTTGGACCCCCTTGTGACCGGTTTCAACCTTCTTCACGTCAACGCACTGAGGTATGACTTCCCATAGGTGTGTACCGTGAATATGTGAAAATGGCCGCACCCCGGCGCATTACTGGCTCCGTTTGCACTAGAGCAGCATGTCTCCTGGTCCTTAAGGTTTAAATGCCTGTGTCATGGATGTCATCAACAACCGAGCCCTCTGGCCTAGTTCGATGGAGGTCAGCATCAGGATCGAAGTTTAACGTCAACTTAATCTACACGGTCGTTCAATCATGCATCGAAGTGGTGGGAACATGTTAATGGTGAAGTGGGGGCTACTCCATTTAAGGTCGTCAGATCGTCTGGAAAACTTCCAAAATAATGTTAGTAGCCGTTTAAGTGCACTAACTTCAGATCTCGGATTTTGGGTCGTTCTTACCCTCAGAGTCCATCCTTATCCTGACTCTTAACTACGGGTACAGCTCAAAATATTGGGTACGGTTAATATATTGCTATTTAGCACCGCAACGCCGTTTAACCAGCATCTCTTGATATATAGAATGTCGTGACTCTTCCTTATAATTTTGAACTCATAATGGCCGATCTGCTGATAATCTGCCAAAAACGGGAGCTGCGGACCTTTGTTACATCGAACGACCGTTGATTTTGAGCATTATGATAAAAATCCTATTGTAAAATAGCCTTTGGCTTTCTTATATATGAGCGCAATTACGTCTTCGAGATCACGACGGCAAATGAGGACTACAGGGAAGCAACTGGAATTTAGACGAGTCGAACTGACTTGAAATGACATTTTTAATTGGAAGATTAAAAAAGCATTCTACAGACACAATTGGGGCGAGATCATACACACTGGCATACGGTCCACATAGCGCGCAGCGCCAATATCATGATTTCCGTCCCCCAATCTCCTAGAGGTTGCGCCATCACTACGCATAACATGACAGCCAGAAGCCAGGAGATGGAGGATTGCGGCAGGATGAGAAAAGACAAGGCAGAACAGGATAGAGGGGAAGCTGATAGCACCAGGCAGGAAATGACATGGCAGAACCGGAGACAAGTCAGGACAGGCAGGAGTGACCGGACAGGACAAGACAGAAAAGAAAAGGGATAGCAAAGCATAGCACAGCTCATCATCATAGGCAAAACGAAATTCGCCAACATAAATCGAAAAGAGATGTTTCTTTCAACCTTCCCTCCATCACAGCGTGAGCCTCAGCTCTTACACGCCCCCCCCCCCCCCCCCCCTGCCTCGTCTTTCCACCCAGCACCGGCCAGTGTCGTCGTCATCGCTCCACATATAGCACCAGTGTTCACCTGACTGTGCAGCACTGCGCGGCGATGTACGATCGGCGTCATCGCTCCACATATAGCACCAGTGTTCACCTGACTGTGCAGCACTGCGCGGTGATGTACGATCGTCGTCATCGCTCCACATATAGCACCAGTGTTCACCTGACTGTGCAGCACTGCGCGGCGATGTACGATCGGCGTCATCGCTCCACATATAGCACCAGTGTTCACCTGGCTGTGCAGCACTGCGCGGCGATGTACGATCGTCGTCATCGCTCCACATATAGCACCAGTGTTCACCTGGCTGTGCAGCACTGCGCGGCGATGTACGATCGTCGTCATCGCTCCACATATAGCACCAGTGTTCACCTGACTGTGCAGCACTGCGCGGCGATGTACGATCGTCGTCATCGCTCCACATATAGCACCAGTGTTCACCTGACTGTGCAGCACTGCGCGGCGATGTACGATCGTCGTCATCGCTCCACATATAGCACCAGTGTTCACCTGACTGTGCAGCACTGCGCGGCGATGTACGATCGTCGTCATCGCTCCACATATAGCACCAGTGTTCACCTGACTGTGCAGCACTGCGCGGCGATGTACGATCGTCGTCATCGCTCCACATATAGCACCAGTGTTCACCTGACGGTGCAGCACTGCGCGGCGATGAACGATCGGCGCGGGCGGCCACCGACCGTTTCGTGAACCGCGCGTGGAGGGCCGACATTACAATAACGGTGTCATACACCATAATCATACGTTAAATAACGCATAAAACTATACACCCTTATCCTCAAAAATAAACGAGGAACCCGTCTTTTTAGTTTCGTGCCACTGCAGGAATGGTCCGGTAGGTATGTAAAGCTGAAAAAATTAGTAAAGCTGAGAAGTTCGATTTTTAGGAAATTTTACCTTTGACCTGGTATCATGAGGTCAATTATTGAGCAAACAACACATAAATTAATAACAGTCGCGGAACATTGTTGAGAGAAACCGCTGGTGTTACCCGCTGGGCTCTATCTTCCCTAGTTTGGAGAGGGAGGGAGAGGGAGGAGGGATGTACCGAACCTCCCACTCAATCCGTCCACGTTATGAAAAACGGCGAATGGGGGCCAGGGCTGTTAACCTACTTGCTGTTTTTCGAGTCATCAGCCATTTGCATGTACACTGAGCATGCATACAGTACACTAACAACCTCAGGTTGCAGGGGTGTATATTCCTATTCAGTTGGGGCGAGGATGCCCCGCCCCACATTTGGACAACAGCCTCCCCCAACATTACGAAGAAAGACTAGTTTAGCGAGATTTTGGGGCGTCCCCAACCTATTTTGCGACACTACGCTCCTGCCAGGTTATCTGCATCGAGTGGTATCGCGAATGTTGTGACGCCTCGCGGTGCGTACCAGACACTCCCAAACACAAACGCAGATGTCTTCCGCGTGGGGCTCAGTGTATGCTGAACAAGGGGCATTCCATGTGCTGGATTCGCGCCAGCGCCGGGTCGTCCATCTACGGCGATCGCGGGGCGGAAAGAAGTGCAGCATGCAGCTGCGGAGCGCAATACTATGACGCCCCCCCCCCCCCCCCCAAGGCTCATCACAATTGTGTTCCCGCACTGAACTTTAAAAATAGGGTGGGGAAAATCCGTAGAGAAACATTTTTTACTGGCGAAATTTGGGGGTGATTGAGATTATTTTTCACCGTCCAGCCCTCTTCACACCAGAAGCTTTGTAAAACTACACCCATGGTCTGTACAAGTTTCCTTTTTGATGAATCAATTAGAAGTCACTATGTGCTATTTTGTCTCCACTCATTATACTGTCACAGGTTCGGGACACTAGTTTGATGCCCAATGAGGCCAAATTTTATGTTCCACGGACCTACGGATGTCCTAAATTAACAAACCTCCAACAAACCTTTAAATAAAAAACGTATTGAAGCCTTCAGACACAGTTACCCCTGCCCCCCCCCCCTCCTAGACTGCTCCGCTGCCTCTAGGAGGGGCTGGGGACAGGTTTAAAAGGATCCTTTGGCTACACCATTAAGTATGACGCAATCACCGTACAATAACCGTTTGCTTTACTAAAAAAAATATTATTCCCTTACTTTATATTGCAAGGATATGACACTATCGCTCACAGCGAGTCACACTCCCCACAAAAAAAAAAAACAATCGACTATACTGTTGATCGCTATTCCCATGCAACTAGAACAGTTCCAGTTCGTCATAATACAACTTCCCAGGTCACCGCTGAGAGCTCGCAGCGTGGCTGTCAGAGTAAGCTGCCGCGGCTCATCCGGCGCCCGACGTCAGAGTAAGCTGCCGCGGCTCATCCGGCGCCCGACGTCAGAGTAAGCTGCCGCGGCTCATCCGGCGCCCGACGTCAGAGTAAGCTGCCGCGGCTCATCCGGCGCCCGACGTCAGAGTAAGCTGCCGCGGCTCATCCGGCGCCCGACGTCAGAGTAAGCTGCCGCGGCTCATCCGGCGCCCGACGTCAGAGTAAGCTGCCGCGGCCCATCCGGCCTCCGACGTCAGAGTAAGCTGCAGCGGCCCATCCGGCCTCCGACGTCAGAGTAAGCTGCAGCGGCCCATCCGGCCTCCGACGTCAGAGTAAGCTGCAGCGGCCCATCCGGCCTCCGACGTCAGAGTAAGCTGCCGCGGCCCATCCGGCCCACGACGTCATGCTCAACACAGACGTTCTAATCAAGCAGCGACAGCGAAACTTTGCGAGACAAACTGCATATCATCAGTCGGTTGGATTACCTTCCCGTGTATTTGCTCCCAGCCTCATCCTTATTCAAATCTTGTCTGGTAATCACTGAGCGCAGCACACCTCACACGTGGCCCACAAGCTCAAAGTTGCAATTCCCTATCGTCCCAATGTCCTGGTTAATAGCCTACCCCCCACCCCCCCACCCCCCCCCCCCCCCCCCCCCACCCCACCCCACC